CCGGCAGAGCCTGGTGGGAGAGGCCGTTTTGAAGGGCTCCCCGGCGCAGGAAGGCAGCGGGGAGGAAAAGGCCCGGAGATGCCCCCGGAGGAGGGGCTGCAAAGCCAGCCCAGGGAGCTGTGAGGAGGAAAGAGCCGTCCTGTGCCGGGAAGGCGGCCGGAGCTTGAGCCGGAGCTCCGAGCTCGTGGTGCAGGAGCGCGTCAATACCGTGGAGAAGCCCTACAAGTGCCCCACCTGTGGGAGGAGCTTCGTCAGCAGCTCCAACCTCCTTGCCCACCAACGTGTCCACACTGGGGAACGACCCTACGAGTGTGGGGAATGTGGGAAGAGCTTCATCTATGGCTCCCACCTCTTCACCCACCGCCGGGTGCACACGGGGGAGCGGCCCTACAAGTGCTTGGAATGCGGGAAGGGCTTCAGTGTCAGCTCCCGCCTGATACGCCATCAGCAGATCCACACTGGGGAACGGGGGCACCAGCCCCACAAATGTGGGGAATGCAAGAAAAGTTTCCAATACAGTTCTGAACTCATCACCCACCAGCGCCTGCACACAGGGGAGAAACCCTACAAGTGCTCAGAATGTGGGAAGAGCTTCCGCCTCCGTTCCAGCCTGAACCAGCATCAGAAGACCCACACTGCGGAATGGCCCTTCCAGTGTCTCAAGTGTGGGAAGAGGGCTCGGAGCAGCTCAGATCTCCTCAAGCATGAGCAGACACACACAGAGGAGAGGCCCTTCCGCTGCACCGACTGTGGGAAGGGCTTCAAACGGAACTCCACCCTCGTCACCCACCGGCACATCCACACCGGGGAGAGGCCCTACAAGTGTGGGGAGTGTGGGAAGAGCTTCGCCCGGAGCTCCAACTTGACCAAACACCAACGGACCCACCGGTAAGGAAAGCCCTAAGAGTGCCCTGACTGCAGGAAGAGCTTTGGCTGCTGCTACCCCCCTGAATGACCACCCTGACAGTGAGGCAACCCCTGGAGTCCAGTGACTGTCAGTCCATCCCTTTCTACCAGAGAGGGCCAGTCCCCTTGTCCAGGGACAGGTTGTGCCAACAAAACCCTCCTTGAGGGGTGTGTGGAGATTCCTGCCTTGGCTGGGACCCCCCAAAGTCACTGCTGGAGGTTGAGAGCAGAGATCTCCCCCCGAGCGTTGGTCTGGGGGAGTTCCATCCATCTCTAATTCATAATTCTTGCTTTGGTGCCAGCGTGAGTAGAATTGCTTCAACAATTGCTTTAGTGTAGAGCACTGTCCTGTCTTATGCTGTACTACTGGTAGTTTCAGTGTTTCTATTGTGCAGTAAATAATTCTGATGAAGATCTTTTGTCTGATCATTTGTAACCCTAAATAATTAATTTCTCTCAGTAGATCTGATTTGCTTTTCTTAGAACCTGGGGGACAAAAGTGTTTCAGTCCCACCTCTGTAATTTCCTCCAAACTGAACCTGTTGGCGTAACCCAAGGCTGAGATTGGATCCAGCAGCCCCAGCACCCCACAGTCAGTTGGGAGCTCAGGGGGCACCCCCCGTTCCCAGCCCCACTGTGCCCAAAGACCCCTATGGGACCGTTGGACCTGCCAGACCACCCCCTTTTTCTACTCTTCTACCTGTTCCTGCCACTTTTTCATGGTCCCCTCAATCTGCAGCCTCTCCCAGACCAGTTTTGTGGTCTCAACACCCACCTTTTCCCTCCTCTCCCACCCCTTCCACATAATCTCCCCACTCCCCAGTGGGGTCCTGGGTGGGGTGTTACTATTTTTGAGGGTCCTTGAGAGGCTGTGGGGAGGTTCTAGGGGATCCCAGCACCTTTTGGGGTGAACTGGGTGCCTATTGAGGGGCAGGTGCCCTCCTAAAGCCCCCCCAGAGCAGGGGGACACGGGGGAAACACAGGGGGGTCCCCATTTCTAATCCATCCCAGGGCCAGTTCTGCGCCCCCAAACTCGACTCCACCCCTTGGGATCCTCCAACCCCCCCCCAGTGCCTCCCAATAACCGGGACTGGGGAGAACTGGGAAGCTTTGCTGGGATCACTGGGAGCAGCCAGGTGGAGGCAGAGTGACAGCAGGGCAGGGGGGACACACGACCCCCCAAAATCCTCACAGATACGGGGGGGTCCAGGCTGTGCCTGAGGCCCTGGGGAGGGGCTGCAGCTGCCACCGACTCAGGAGCTCTGTGGGGAGAGAAAAGGGGGTGACAGCGGGGTGGGGGGACAGCGGGATACACCCAGAGCTGGACTGGATCCAGCGGGACCAGAACTGGGGCAACTGGGATCATACTGGGAGCAGCTGGGCCCCTGCTGGGGTCATACTGGGATCATACTGGGAGTGACTGCAATAATACTGGGAGCGTGTGGGAGGGACTGCAGCCATACTGGGGATGAGTGGGATCAAACTGGCTTTGTACTGGAAGTGTCTGGATGTAACTGGGATCATATTGGGATCAGACTAGGATCATACTGGGAGCAACTGGTTCTATGCTAGGGGCAACTGGGAACTCTTAGAATCCTACTGAGAGGAACTGGGAGCAAGTGGGACCATGCTGGGCACAAGTGGGATCATATTGGGAGCAACTGGACCCACAGTGAAGGTGGCTGGGGTCATACTGGGAGTGACTGGGAGCATTCTGAGGGCAACTGGGACCATGTTGGCCTAACTGAGATACACTGGGAGCAAGTGGGATCACACTGGAGGTGACTGGGATCATACTGGAACTGACTGGGAGCAGGCTGAGGTTGACTGGGAGAGACTGTGAGTGACAGGGATCCTACTGGGTGGGACTGGAACTGTAGTGGGTGAGTGGGAGCAAGTGGGACCCTGCTGGGGGCAAATGGCTTTATACTGGGAGTGACAGGGAATGTCTGGGTTCATCCTGGCTCTGACTGCCACCATAGAGGGTGTCACTGGGATCATACTGGAGTCATACTGGGAAGGACTGGAACTACAGTGGGGTGACTGGGAGCAACTGGGACCATGCAGGGAGTAACTTGGATCCTACTAAGAGAGACTGGGATCATATTGGGACTGACTGGGAGCATACTGGAGGCAACTGGGCTATACTGGGAGTGGCTGAGAGTGATGGGAGTTACTGGAACCATAGCAGAGGTGAAGGGGAGCAACTGGGATCATAGTGGGAGCAGCTGGGCCCCTCCTGGGGTCCTGCTGGGGTCTTACTGGGAGTGACTGCAATAATACTGGGAGTGTGTGGGAGGGACTGCAGCCATGCTGGGGATGACAAGGATCAAACTGGCCACTTACTGGAAGTGTCTGGAAGTTCCTGGGATCATACTGGGGGTGACTGAACTCATACTGGGATCAGACTGGGAGCAACTGGGACCATGCAAGGGCAAATGGCATCATCGAGGTTGTGCCTGACAGTGCCTGGGGCCATCCTGGACTCAGACTGGGAGTGTCTGAGAGGGAAAGGAACCATCCTGGGGGGCCTGGGAGCAACTGGGACCACCTTGGGGGCAAGTGGTATCCTATTGGGAGTGACTGGGATCATAGTGGGAGTGACCAGCACCATACTGGGATCATAGTGGGAGTGACTGTAAGGGACCAGGATCAAACTGGGACTGACTGGGAGCATACTGGAGGCAACTGGGCTATACTGGGAGTGGCTGGGAGTGACTGGGATCGTTCTGGGAGTGACTGGAACCATAGTAGGGGTGAAGGGGAGCAACTGGAACCATGCTGGGGGCAACTGGGATCATAGTGGAAACAGCTGGGCCCCTGCTGGGGTCTTACTGGGAGTGACTGCAATAATACTGGGAGTTTGTGGGAGGGACTGCAGCCGTACTGGGGATAAGTGGGATCAAACTGGCTTTGTACTGGAAGTGCCTGGAAGTTCCTGTGGTCATACTGGGGATGACTGGAGTCATACTGGGATTATACTGGGATAAACTGGGAGCATGGAGGGAACAAATGGCTTTGTCCAGGCAGTGCCTGAAGGTGCCTGGGACCATACTGGGCTCAGACTGGGAGTCACTGAGAGGGAAAGGAACCATCCTGAGTGGGGCTGGGAGCAACTGGGACCACATTGGGGGCAACTGGGATCCTACTGGGAGTGACTGGGATCGTAGTGAGAGTGACCAGCGCCATACTGGGATCGTAGTGGGAGTGACTGTAAGGGACCAGGATCAAACTGGGAGTGACTGGAACTATGCAGGGGGGAGCTGGGAGCCAGTGGGGCCGTGCTGGAAGCCAACTGGGAACATACCTGGAGCAACTGGGATCATTCTGGAAGCAACTGGGAGTAACTGGGAGTGACAGGGTGCATGCTGGAGGCAACTGGCATGAACTGGGAGTGACTGGGATCAGACTGCTGGGAACTGGGACCATCCTGGGGCAAGTGGAAGTCACTGGGTGCAGTGGGTTTCTGTGGGTGGGTTTTGGTAGCGGGGGGGCTCCAGGGGTGGCTTCTGTTGGAAGCTGCCAGAAGCTTCCCCTGCCCCGTGGAGCCAATGCCAGCTGCTCCAGGACAGACTTGCTGCACTGGCCAAGACCAAGCCCATCAGGAGCAACAGGAACAGCTCTGGGATAACAGATTTAGGGCCAGAAGGAATTGCAGCCAGGGAAGAGTGGAGTGGGAACGTGGGAACAGCAATGCAGACCTCAAGGGCGGTGCAGAAGGAGGGGCAGGAGGTGCTCCAGGCCCTGCAGGCCCTGGGGGAGCATCGGGGTGCAGAGACCCCCCTGCAGCCCCTGGGGGAGCATCGGGGTGCAGAGACCCCCCTGCAGCCCCTGGGGGAGCATTGGGGGGCAGAGACCCCCCTGCAGCCCCTGGAGGCTCCCACGCTGGAGCAGGGGGATGCACGAAGGAGGCTGTGACCCCGGGGCAGGCCCAGGATGGAGCAGGTCCTGGCAGGGACCTGCAGCCCATGCAGAGGGAAGCCCAGGCTGGAGCAGGTTTTTCCCAGCAGGACTCGTGGCCCCTGTGGGGGACCCACGCCGGGTCAGCTCATCCCTGAAG